ACCCGCCCCACCATCAAAATCCTCAATAACCTTGAAATACCCCCAAATGAGTAAGAAACGGGAAGTTCGTTATATGGGCATTGTTTGCTGTTATATGGGTCACAGTTTAGCTTATGGAATAAATGTAGGTTAACATTAAGTTCTGATGGCAGCTAAAATGGGAGAAGAACATGGATCTGACTGCAAGATGGAGACTATGCAAGCACATGTTTGTTGCAGCATCTCAAAGCAGTTAGAGACGCTACAGAAGGCATGCCACGAATGAAAATCATATCATAGAATCATAGAAGTAGGGTCGGAAGCTGTTCCTTGTGCTGCATATTTGTAGCATGGACTCTAAATTTGATACTGGAAAATCCCAGTTTTAAAAGAAGCACCCTGGAAAAAAGTGGTGCAGGGCATGCTCCTGGTGCATGCCTAGAGCAACCCGAGTCTAGGTCCTCCAAGGAGATACTCTAGCACCTGGCCAGAGCATCTCTATGTCTGCCACATGCCCCTGCTGCTCTAGCATACTGCCTCAGCGTGCTGGAAGAAACAGAAGTGGGGCAATGCTGGCAGCAGTGGCTTGGACCCAGACTCTGTCTCTGGTAATCAGGGATATGGGGGTAGACGGGCTGTGGGAGTGGGGGGGACTGTGGGGTTTCACAGGGGGGTTGTGGGTGTGGAGTTTGTGGGGGGGGCACCATACACCTGCACCTCCCCCCCCCACCACACACTCTCCTGTGGCACACAGACCCTGGCACTGGCAGCAGCAGCCAGTCAGACTGTCGGGGCACTCATGGCCCACTGCAGCCAGAGCCCCATGGTGGTGTGGCACCACCTGAAACCCGGGGAGTGCACATGGCAACTAGAGCCAGCCCAGCCCACTGGTGTGCGTCTTTGGACAAGACCAGTTCGGTTCCTGCCACCACCTGGGGCTCCCAGCAGCAGGTCTGACCCTAGGGAGGTGCGGAGCCCAAGGCAAATCAGCCTGTGCAGGGCCCCCTTAAGAGAGCTGAGTGACATGAGCTGCAGAGCAGAATGCCCTGGGGGGGCGTCTGCAGCTGAGGTGAGGGCTGTGCTGGGCAGGCTGGGCTGGGTCAGAGATGCCCTTGCAGTAGGGGGCCCTGAGCTGAGTTGAGCCATGGTGCCGTGTCTGGCAGCCTCGGAGGGCCAGGCTGTGCTATGGGATGGGTACCAGACAGCACCTCTGCTGCAGCCCTCAGATGTTGAAGTGCAGGGTCCCCCAAAGCATGGAACCCTGGGTGGTCACCCTGATTTGCTGTACCTTAGGGACGGCCCTGCCCCACACTACATGTAGGATCTACTCACCATTGGACCGGGCTGGGTTTCCACGTGTCCAGACCGATGGCACATAGCTATTGCATGCAGTACTGGGAACCCTGAATGGTCACAGGAGTTGACCCAGTCTTGTAAGGAGGCACATGCCAGCAGGTGAAGCCAGCTCCATTCACTGTGTGCAGCCCCTGGGTCTCAGGCAGTGCCACACTGCCACAGGGCTTTGCTCTCAGTGGGTCATGAGTGCCCTGATGGCTCGGCTGGCTGCTGCTGCCAATGCCAGGGGCTCTGCACTGTAGAGGAGGTGGGGCGGGCAGATATGTTGCATCCCCCCTCAAGCTCCACAACCACAAACCCCACACCCACCACACATCTACCCATGAGCCCCTCCACACACCTACTCAAGAACCCTACATCCACCCCCCCACCCCATCCCACCCTCCTCCCGCAAACCCCACATCCCCCCACATCTCACCTGTATGCCCAGCCACCAGACAGGATGGTACTTGGTGGCAGAAGCTGTGGCTGCAGGCTCAGCTGTCCCCACATCCTGGTTAGCAAAGGGGGCAAGGGGAGCTGTGATTTTTCTATGATAAATAAACCAAAAGCAAACACCATTCTGATGATAGAAGCACTGGTAGGCTTCCAAATTGCTTTAAAACTGTAAATATATCAATAAAACATTGCTTGATTGATCTCTCTCTCTTTCTCTCTCTATATAGTGGTGGTTCATTTTAATCATGGAAGAACACAGATTTTTTATCAGAGAATTTGCAATTTTTAAACAAGGAACACCAGGATTCCTGCTAGTGAGGCAAGTGGCGGGACCCAGGCATAGGAGCCTGCCCAGCGCTGGCACCGGGGACCCAGCTGGAGAGCAGATGGGGTGGCTGACCTCCTGGCCCTTTGGGGCCAGAAGAACACACTTCGACAGTTCAAAGAGTGCCACCAGAATGAGCACATCTTCCAAGTGACAACTGCCCTGATGGCAGGACAGGGGCACACATGGCAGCAGTGCCTCACAAAGGCCAACTGTGCAGCCACGGCCCACTGGCGACTGGCCCAGAGGTGCAGATGTCTCTGCTGCAGTGTCTATACCACAGCCCAGGTGGCCACGTGATCCCCACTCAGGTCTGGCAAGGTCATGGGGATGCAGGTCCAAGGGGACGGTTGGTGTCACAGGTGGCAGCAGGTCAGAGCCAGGCAGCAGCCCCCATTGCATTATAAAAAGCTACCTTGGTGAGTAGCTCAGGGCTACTTGACCTCAGGAGCTTCTGAGGCCTAGCCAGTTGATATGTGGGTACAGTAGCCCCCTCTGCCAGCTGGACTGCTGCAGCAGCCCTGACCCAGAGTGGTCAGACCGCAGCAGTGGGTAGACTGCAGATCCCAGTGGGCAGAAGGTTCAGGGGCCACTCTTAAGTCAGGGCTGCTGCAGCAGTCCAGCTGGCAGAGGGGGCTAGTATACCCACATATCAACTGGCCAGCTCTCAGAAGCTCCTGAGGGCATGTAGCCCTGAGCTGCTCACCCGGGCAGCCCCAGCCTCCAGCTCCACCTAGATGCAGATCCAGGAGGAAGTTGCACAATTTGCCCCACAGCAAACTGCATGTTCAGGCACATGTGCTGAGGCACAAATTTGTACTGCTGCTATTTAAGCTGCTGCAAGTGCACGTGCCTGCATGTGTGGATGTAGCCTGTGTGTTTTAATCTATTCAGAAAGAGAATGGTCTCTTAAGTGTTTGTGTAATGCCTACTTGATTGGAATCAAATTACAGCTCTGCTGTTAAGCTAACCTTTTCACCAGAGCAGGTAAAGAGAGGATTTTGTCTTCTTCTGAGTCATTTAGTTCAGCCCCATATGTGGCAAGAGGGGATTATTCATCTTCCCTGTGGTTGGGAATCAAATCTATTTCAGAATTCATTCTGGGAAAGTGATTATAGAAGTTTCCTAGACTTGATTTCACTATGTTCTTAATCTTTTTTGCCTTCTAATTTTCAGCCGAAATTTTCTTAGCTGCAGTAAATACAACGTATGTTTTACTTGTTGGTTAAGAATTGACGTTCTCCTTCCTTAACAAGTATTTGTAAGCAGTTAACCTTATTAGTCTATTGTCCCAGTCACAGCTTTGAAGATTTGCATAATGTAAATGCCCAGAGTAAAACTGTTTTCCTTCTTGTTTCATTTGTTAAATTCAGTGGAAGATTATTCTGAAGGTTACTGGGCAATCACCATTTTAATTGTTGTAGACAATGATCACAATGAGCTTATCCAAAAACAGAAGGAAAAATAAGACAGATGTGCATAGAAGCAAAATAGCCAGTTTGAAGGGGCAGGGCAAGTTGTTAGACACGGCAGAAGAGTCTGTTATTTTCTCCAAATGACACTTATACAAGATGTAACATTCTTTACTTTCAGGGGAGCAATGGTGAAAGAGATATAAAATTCCCATTCTAATTTTGAAAACAAGGAAAACCAAACAAATTAATTCTAATTTGATCCTGTTAGCCAGGCTACTGGATGAAGAACAAAGTAAGGGGGCAAACTAATTAGCAAAAAAAGGAAACTGGGTTTGGAACTGAAGGACTGAGTCATAGAAATAATGACAAGAAACCACATTCCTTTTTATAGTATGCTGTTGAGAAGCATTAGAGCAAATTCTGGGGGTTAAGCTGGCAGCTGAATTATATATCAGTCAAAATTTAGTGGCCAGAGGATTAATCAACACCTCCCATCACAGCAGTGGCTTCCTCTGAAAATGAACCTCCAGCCAACACCAACCTCAAGGCTGCAGCTCTGCCTTCCCCACCCACCTCACAGTCAGCACTGCATCTGCCACAGTTGCTGCAGGGAAGGTTCGGGGTGGATGCAGTTAGGGAGAGCAAGACGCTCTCCCTAGCTACACTTCCACCTGAGCTTGTGCCCAGCTTACCCACCCATTGTGACACTACTATATATGCACACAGTGAAACAAAAACCATGGCTGCCATTCCCAGATTGTTCCTCACTAACGGAAACTAGATTTTATAGCATCTTTTAAATGGCCTCTGGCAAACATTTGCATTGTTATAATGTTCCCAATGGGGAACACTGATTTCATGGGGAAAAGTCACACGCACTGAAGCAAGATTTCATTCAACTTTATAAAATCTCTTATTCATCTTAACAGCACAGAAAATAGCCACCTTATGCCAGGTATGCCCAACCCCCAGGCTGTGGGCCAGATCCAGCCCATTAAGCCATGCTGTCTGGCCCACAGGACTTCCCACTATCTGAAAATTTGAGGGCAGGGGAGCAACAGCACCTAACTGCCACTCCCTTGCTGCCAAGTTGTTTGACTCATGGGGAGCCCCATGAGGCAAAGAACATGGCTCTGCATGCTAGATTGGACATGTGAGGCCCATTTGGCCAACAGGTGTGGTACAGGGCTGACAGGGTGGCACAAGGCTGATTATGGTAGTATGTGGTTGATCAGAGAGGCACTGGGTGGATCGGGGTTGACTGGGGCAGTGTGGGATGGCAAAGGACTAATCAGGGACCAATCCAGCCTGCGGACCCACCCTGTACCACTCATTCAGTCTGCGAAGTCAACAGGTTGGCCATCATTGTCTTAGGCTGATTAAAAAAGAAATGTTGGAATTTTGCTTTTCCATATGTTCCATAACAGTATTGTTTAGACTCATGCGTTACTTGGAGAATGAGACTATGCTTCTATTTCACATCCTAGCACCTGTCTACAGAAACCAGGACATCTATACATAAAAGGAACTACCAAGGAAGACAACAAAAATGGCAATTAAAAACCTACTGAAGCCTTAGGAACATTATAGTTCTTTTCAGTATTTTTTTTTTCCTCAATGTATTTGCCATTCCTTTCTGTCTTCCAGAGTGGCATTAGCCATACCCTGTATGTCTATTATATTAAAAGAAACTTACAATACAACCATATTAAGACTGCAAATCAGGGACCTGAAATTAAGAAGTGTTGGAATTAAGGCTGCCTATAAAAATTGAGTTTTCTCCCATCTCTCTTGGGCATACGCAGTATGATAGTTTCAAATTAAACAAAGTATTATTTGGGCTACAAAGTCCTATGGAATCTAACTCAGACTTCCTTGAAAAGCAAGAACTTATTAGGTGCCACCAGTGAACTTTCTCATACAATATATTTCATTTTAATTGAAGACACCAAAAGAACAAGAACAAAAGTCAAATGTCCATCATAAAGTGCATGTTTCCATTCTCTCCTGTCAAAATGTGCACTTGACCCAGAGTCTCAATGGCTGACTGCAGTAGCAACCTGGGGACCGAGGATACAGTACACAGGAAATAAGTCACATAAACTATGCACACCACAGTTACCAGTATTTCAATTCCTGATTTTTGCCACATTTTGAGATTTTGCTTCCTGCCAGCAACACACTATAAGTAACAAAATTCACTTTTTTTTTTCTGTCAAGTTTCCATAAAAGCAAAATACAATCAACTTCTCAGGTTAGAAAAATGAGGTAGCTTACAAGAAAAGCTATAGTCTGTTGTACACACTAAGTTGATTTCTTTCCAGCCACTGAAACGAAGTTTTCTTTTTCTTTTTTTTTAAATTTAAACAATATTATTTTACCAATTTACTACTTGACTTCACAGTCTACCAAATTAGGTACAGATATAACAGCTGTATATAATAGAATCATCTACTGAATGGATTAATGAAATTACTTTCACACACAGTATGGCATTGCAAAAGCTTTACAATCTAACATGAAGACCAACATTTGTGGTCTCTCTGTATTTCATTGTCAGCTGAGATTAACAAGTTTCTGTGAAGGTTTCTTTGAGAAGTAATTTTAAAAAAATAATTGGATTGTGATGCTCATGAATGGCCCATCATTTTTTACCTGAGTATCAAAATCCATTTTTTTCTTTTTCTAAAAATATCAAATTCGGCATGGGGAGCTGGCAGCTCTAGCTTCCTACATACCATTCTGAGAATTATCTGCATTCACACTCTGTAACTACCAGCTCTTGGTATACAACAATAGGTAGTCCAGACTCTAAAAACATTTAACTTCTGACCTTTTTACTTACGCAGTCAGCAAGGTTGTAAGTAGTGATGGTATTTAAGACATGGAGACCTATGGGGTTGAGGCCAGTAAGTTATTTCACAGACCACTGAGCAGCTCTAGCAAATGCTAAGGATCGCTCATTCATTCCAAAGAAGGGCTGGATTGAATCCAGAAAGTGAAAGGGTCTATACTTAAAGCTCCAGGGAGACAAGATGAATTGCTTTTCTTTATACAGATCAAGGCACAAAGTCAGATCTCAGGTTATCATTGGAGAGTGAGTGCAGAAAAAAGCCAGAAGGTGATTTGCTACTTGGAGGAAAAGGCTTTCAGTGAGAGAGGGAAAGA